ATGGTTGTTGTAGGTTTTTTGGACTGTTTGGCCGTATTCTGGAAGTTTTTCTTCCTAACGTTTCACCAGTCTGTGGCCGGCATCTTCAGACAACAGGAGTTAGAACTCTGAATGTGTTCTGGTTCTAACTCCTGTCCTCTGAAGATGCCAGCCACAGAGACTGGTGAAATGTTAGGAAGAAAACCCTCCAGAACATGGCCAAACAGCTCGAAAAACCTACAACAACCAACTTCCTTTGTTGCTTTTAAATCAAGAAGCCAGGCCAGAGCTATTGAGGCTTTGAGCTAAGACTTACTCTTAGCAACATTTACATGCCTGTAGGTGTGGACCTGTCAGGTGAAACACCCAGAAGGGAGAATCTGGGGAGATTGGGTCCAATAAATCCAAAGGGCACATTGCTAGCCTTTGCCTTTCTTTGTAATGTGTAGCTTAGTTCAAATAGCTAGAAGGCTTTGCTAAAGTACCCTTTGGATGATCCAGATGCATCCAAAATGTAACCACCCATTCCTTTTTATTTTCCGTTCATGATAATTTATGCACTTAATTTGTATACTGATACATGTCTTGCGTGACAACTCACATGCTCTGGGTCATGTGGAAACTATCTGCAGAGAGTTCTCACCTTGAGGTGTTAACAAATATCACCCAATGATGGGGAAAAATGGGGAGAAAATGCAGATGTGACTCTTCCATGACCAATACAAATAATGCAGACAAAGTTGTGCTGGCTGTAGATACTGACTCTACCGATACTGATAGCAACACAGAGAGCTAGAGATATGTAGGACCAAAAATCGATAAGCACAGAAACAGAGGAAAAAAGCCAACTCTGTACTGAATATGCTATCGTGTTATCTTGTTTACAAAGAGGGAATAATCTCCCTAATCTCAAAGTTTCTGTTTCAGTGGACCAGAAAGGCCATGACCCTGGAGATAGTGACTCGCTACAGCCACAGGCCCTGAAACAGGAGGAGAGTGTGAATTTGTAGGCACCTCTGCACCCGGTCCTCGCGGGGGGCATTTCCATACACTTCTGCTTCCTGCTTGGTGTTTTCACTGCAGCACTGTAGGAAGGTGTGTTTGTTTCTGTGCAGGTAGTCCACCAGATCTCCATAGCGGCAGTACTCCGTTATGATGTAGATGGGGCCTGTGGAGAAGATCAGATGTGGTCAGTGGGTCTAAAGATAGGTTCTTTGCCAATGGCTTAAAAACTGAATGACCATGGCCTCGCTGAGGTAGTAAATGGCTTCAGATAGCAGACCAAGTGCCCCTCCAAACAATCCATGCAAACTCTTGTCTGCAGTCCAAAGGGGTGCGGCCAGATGCAGGCCTTACTGCACAAATGTGAGAGTGAGGCCTCAAGGTAGAAATCTGTTTGAGAAAGAGAGGGAGAGAGAAGGAACTACTTTCTACCCTGTCTCTTAATTTGCCCCATTGTGAGGTCATATTACTACATTACTGAATGATTAGTAAAGGAATAGATGGGTTTGAAAATGAAAGATTTAGTAGAAGTAACAGGATCCCCATACACAAGGGCAGTGGTGCTAGCACTCTGGTGGGTAGATTGGAATATAAGTGTAAGGAAAAGGGAGATTGTGGTCTTCACTTTATTCATGCTGGTTTGAACAGAGAAACTTGCAGGCTTTTTCCTGCAACAGAACAGCAGTGTAGAATAACAAATATGTGCATTAATTGAAGGAATGGCACAGTACAAAAGCTCCTAACTTTCTGCCCGAAGACAGCCTTGTTGTTAAAGTTACTGAAGTTAAGATGAGACGTATTCATTATAAATCCTATGTATAAGCCAAAAAAAGCTTTGATGGGCAGCAAGGGGAAAGGACCGAGCCATCCATATGCGCTCCAAGTGACGGTAACAGAGACGAAGCAAGTACCTCCTTTGGTGCAGGCACCAAGCAAGTTGACAATGTTCAGATGAGGTCCCAGATGGCTCATGATCTTCAGTTCTGACATGAGTGCTTGCTTCTCGCTGCTTCTGGCAGTAGCTGGAGAAAAAAAAAAAGGTTAAATACACAATGAGGGCTATTATAGATGCATAAAAAGAAAACAGCAATCTGGACACATCCATAGTCTTCACAAAAGTATTATCTTCAAAAAGATGCTCTCAAAGCAAAAGCAGTGGAAAGAAATCCAGATTGCTGATATAATAGATACGAGCAAAAATCTCTCCTGACTCTACACCTGAAGACACTGCCAGTCAAACGTACACCCACCCATACCAATGGCACATTTCTGTATGACAGACCTATCCCATTACCTTGTATAATGGAGTCTAACTGATCACCATGGAAGTCAGATGTGAAATATAAATGACTCCACATCACCTGGGATTTCAGAGGTTACTAAAAGCTACTGATTCTGGCTGCATTTTCTCCTTGTGAAACATTTTCACCAAATAGGCACCCTTCATATATGTGCCATGTAACCAAAGGCAAAGGTGCTTCGGCAGACAGGCGAAAGAATGGTGAAAACACACAGTAAAGCCACAGGAACATCAATTAGAAAGAGAGGTAGTGCCGTTGGAAAGCAGCGGGGACATATGTACATGCATGCAAAACAAGGGAAAGAGAAGGTTCCAGACTCACATTTGAGCATTTTCACAGCAACCCTCATGGTGGACTGTGAGTGGCTGAGACTATGGGCGATGGCTTCCACCACACGGCCAAAGGCCCCAGACCCCAGCGTGCGTCCTGGAGCAAAGAGATGTACATGTGTTTATGTTTGCCTCATCAAGAGCAAGAGAAGAAATCTGCATCTGCTCTACCACTTGCCAGCTGTTAACAGCCATGGGAGGAGCCTGGAGAATAGCTGTGCAGAAAATGTTTATCTTCTTACTTGAGAGACTGGGTCGTGTGCATTATTCCAATGAGGAACGACTAAAGTGGGGAGTTTGGCCAAGAGCTGGTTTCTGCCCGGCTGATAAGGCTGCTTGCGCTCAGTCCTGGGGCTTTGTTTTTCCCAGATGAAAGAGCACTTGGACCACTAGGTGGGGTGCTATTTGCAAATTTCACAACCCTGCCTTGAGTCTCAGCTGCTTGTCTAAAAAAGCGGTCTGTCCGGAGGCCCAAGGAGCTTTGTGCTATAATAACTCTGTTGGCTTTAAATGTCTCACATGACTCTTGTTATTTAGCTGTTCAGGGAGCCTGCCAACGCCACCCTAACACCGCTTCAGCTTCAGCGCTGGACTTACCATTAAGCAAAGTGAGATGGATTTCACAGGAAGCCGATTTTGAATGGGCATCGGTTCATGAGCTATTTAATTTATTGACCAACAAGGCTAGGCGTTGTGAGAGATACATCTGGGATTTCTTGCCTCTGGTGCCAAAATGCATCTTGACTAGTGTGAATTGGGGGGGCATTATTTCCTCTTGAGTTGGTTGGATAGCTCACTGGTTTACATACCTGGCTGCAGGGCCAGAGGTAGGGAGTTTGGTTGCCCAGCTGTACCTCCTGTGAAGCAGAACGAGCCTATGTGCCCCTGGGTGAGCTGCAGAGTCCCAGGCTGCCCCAGAAAAAGGGAATGGCAAACCACTTCTGCATGTTCTCTGCCTGGAAAGCCCTGCAATGGGCCACCATAAGTCAGAACTGGCTTGACAGCACATGATGTCAATATCTTCCTGATAAGCCTTGAGCATCAAAACGTCTCATATGGCCTTAATAAGCATTGGCTGGCAGGCAGATTAACATTTTTTATTTATTTATATCCAATGTTGCACTAAAGGTCTGTGGGGTAGGAGGCACAACAGACAGCCGTGCTGCTAATTCTGTGCCCCCCCCCGGTACATTTCCCCCCAATATATAGTCTCTTTCTTTACCTTTATCCATATCGTCTGGAATCCTATTAGTTTCCTTGCTGGCAAACTCAACTGGCATAAATTTCAGTAGTGAATAGCTCCAGGCTAAGAAGGAAGTGTCAGCCTCTGCTGATGTGCACGGAGTTGTGTGACTCAGCATGCAGCAGCAAATGCCTATGCTGACTCCACAGTCTGGAGCCATTTACCACTAAAATTTGTGCCAATGGAGTTAAGCTGGCCTAAACACATAATAGGGTTCCAGCCAGTATTATATGTCAAGAATAAAACATGCCAAATATTCCCAAGTCTTACATGATTTTAGTCACTCCTGTACTGGTTTAATATTGTTTAAGAAGGGTTGGAGATAGGATGGGAACAGGTTTTCTGTCATAGTGTCATTTTAACTCATTAATTAATTAAGACATAGTCTGTCTTTCCACTAGAAATAACATCCATGGGGGACTAGCAACAATATAATGCAAAATAAAATGAGGAATTGTTATGCCAATGAAAGTAAGTAATTTTAAAAATAAATCAATTAAAAAAACACACACATAAGGAACCAACCAGCTAAACATGTCCTCTTAAAAGCCCAAAAGTTGTCTAAATAAAGACGGTAACAACTGAGCTATCCTTGGATTATTTTACAAGCTGCAAATTTGTGGAGAATCTTACATCCCCTCTGATATTTCTGCTACCTAACTCCGATGTTGTTCTGGGCAGGACAACTTTTATTACAATGGATAGGCTGCCTTCCTCTCAAGGGTCATGTTCTCTAGAGACTGGCTGCCAGCAAACTACAAGAAAAGGGAATTCTGCTCTTGCTCACTTAAGAAGGGCTTCTGAAATATGGGAGATGGCCACAGGAAATTAGGCCATGCATCATCTAAGACTCAGGTTCCCAACTTCTCTTTTTTTTCATGATTACTCCTGTGAAGGTAGTTCTTAGCTCTCAGTGTGCACACATTTTATTGGGCAACTGGAAACAAAAAACAAACAAAAAACCGTAAAACAAAACTGGAAGTATGCAAAGGCCAAAAGATAATACCATTCCAGTTTGCCTGTTACGTTAATAAGTGTGAACTTTATATAGTTTTTCTCAAAAAGCAACCCTGATGAATTTCTCCTCCATCTCTGGTGGAAGACAGCTGCTCTAGTATTTTTTCCCCTAGAAAAGATTCTAGAATCTACTGGGATTCTTTCCCTGCAACTATAGAACTATGTTGGAAAAGTCAATGAACAAGCAAGATATCTGGGCATCTAAAAGAAAGAAAAGGAACTGGAAGTGTCTCATCCTTCACATGTACAGCAGAGCCAGTCGTTTATGCACAAAGCCTCTCCCTTGAGCCCTCTCCTCACCCAGCACCAGCTTGTCCCTAGGAACCTCCCAGCTGGAGTCATAGGGAAGCTGCATGGGGTCGACATAGATATACTCGTGTCCATCAGAGCTGACAGACTCAATCACCTTCCAACGTATTTCATAGCGGGGTTTCTGCAGAGAGAGAGAAAAGAAGATGTTAGAGATCAGTGGTACTGTGTAGGATGCCAGATACCTGCAATGTAAGATGAGCCTGAGGGGGAGAGGAACAGTTTTGGAAAGAAAGTTTATTTGTGGTTTGCAGAAAGTTTCTCACATCCACAAATACTTTACACCACAAAGCAACTGGACCTGTCTCTGTGGGATGGATGGTAGCTGCCTTCTATAGGAGGTCTATCCAACTGAAGATGATCGTATAACAGTATGAATGCAAACCACTGTACAATGAGACACAATTAAGTCTCACTAAAATCCATGTCCATTTATAGCCTCTAGAAGGATACCTTGCAGTTAAAGAATAAAAATTGAATTGAAACTCGCTGAGCCAAGGAATTGTCAATGATATTCACTGTATACTAATTTAAGTATAAGATACTCAGTTCACTCCCAATCTCTCTAAAGATCCTTCATGGCCAAAACACACATCTAGAGAAATCTGTTTGTACAGGAAGTGCTCCCTGAAGGATTCAAAAAACCTATAATTATGAAAACAGACATGCTGGCCCTCAGAGAGACACTGAAAGGAGATAAGACGGTTCGTACCTTTCGCCACAGGAAGACAAGGATCACTAGGAAAAGAACCATGAGCACCAGTAAGGCCACAATAACTGAGATGATGATCACTTTAAAGGACAAATCTGAAAGAATAAGCATATGTAGCATCTTTAAACATTCAATCTGTATGAGGCTGCTGGGGAAGGTGGTCCAGAGCTTTGGAGTCCACTGTCATCAGTATGCCGATGACACACAGTTCTATCTCTTTTTAACATCTTCAGAAGTGGAAGCTGTACAGACCCTGGAGCGCTGGCTGTCTTTGCTCAGGGACTAGAGAAAGGCTAACAGAAATCTATGGTTAGGAATCGGGCCTTCTCAGTGGTGGCTGCCACATCATGGAATGCATTGCCAGTGGAAATATCCCAGGCCCCTTCCCTCATATATTTAGAAAGTCAATCAAAACCCATCTCTTCAGAGAAGTGTTTCTGTAGACTCTTCCTGCATGATTGGCTATTTTGTTTGTTTTTTAACTGCTGTCGCTGCAGGGTTTTTTTCTGGAGTGTTGTTGTTATTACTTTAAATTATGTTTGTCTGGTTAGAGTGGGAGTTTCTATGTTTTTATCTATGTAAGCCACTCAGAGTAGTGGCATGCCGCTAGATGGGCAGGGTAAAAATGTAATAAAATAAACATATAAAATAAATAAATTTAGAGTCAAGGGATATTCAAATATATTTTATTTACATAGATTCTAAAACTCTTTTCCCCCTGCTAGAAAGGCTGCAAAAAAGTGTACAACTGCAGCAATAGCAATTCCATTTATAGAAACAAATGTACAATCAGAAGCAGTTCATCTCATATTAGCACACAACTAGTGACTGGGCACTGTCAGAAGTCTTCTGTAGCACCTCTTATCCTTTCTTGCTTTCTTCCCTCAAACACATGCCTGATTTAATTAATGAAAGAGCATTTCTTGGTACATCCTGTAGCGATACTTCTTTTGAACTAGGCCTTATCCCTAGACACCAATCAAGATCAAAAGAAAATGATACCAAAAGAGAGAGCAAAAAGATTGTAGACCTCAAATTTTTTAAACTACTTATTTGTTTTCTTTTGATCTTGTTAAAGTCAATTGGTTGCTTTCTTCTTACTAACCCCCACTAGACAGAAACAAAAACCCTCCTTTCCTCCCTTTGCTACTTGTTATAACTTGTTTTTTTTTAAAGAAATGAACCAAGGCAGATGAATTTAACTAGGGCAGAAGAACTGCTTTCTCCTCAGAAAAACTGGAAATCTTCAGCGACTTTGCCCTGACCTTGATCATGAGCACTGATCAGAACTCTAATCCTGAGGACAACCATCCAGCAGGATCAGAATTTGACCAAGAGTGCCAGTTATGAAACTGTGTAAGCTAGAGTCAGGCCTAACATGACGTCTGTCACCCAGGAACCCCATGACTTGGTTTCCATGGGGAATCAGTCTTCTTTACACCAGTGCTTGCTAACAAGCACAGGCAACATATTGGACAGATAGCTGGGTTTCAGCCTAACCTTTTGGGACACTCCCTAAGAGGGACAAGAGGATTAAGTTAAGTTCCATAGTTCTTTTTCAGAAGACGTCTACTTTGAAGGAAACATACTCCCACATAATGTTAACTGCTTGATTTCATCATGCATATTTCACAGGTTCCTGGTTAAGCTCAGGGCAAGACACTATTTCAGACAATATAGGAATGCATGGAAGGAAAAGGGAAATGTCTGACCTCCCCACCTTTAGATTAAGATCTTACAACAGGTCCCACTCGTGTAACAGTGGAGCTTCTCCAGATCTTTAGAGAACCACTTGTTTCTTTCCTCTGCACACACAATTGTATCTGTAGCTTTCTTTCTGATCTGAATACAAACATGAGGAGGTGGAGGAAACATTAACTTTTTCCTTCCGTCCATGTAGAAACATTTGCAAAGAGCAAGAACGTGGGTCCCATTTGCTTTTTAAAAACCTTTTCTGATTTGAGATTGAGACAGGAAAATCCTTAATGAAAAGGAATGAAAGTTGCAAGCTTTGTAGCAGATCCATGGTCTGATGTGCGAACTGAGATAGGATTTTATATCTAAACAGTATTCTCCACTTAATGCCATGTGCTTTTGGAACTTTGCTTTTTTGCTTCTAACAAATGGAGATGGGAAGCATGAAGGTCTCCAGATGTTGCTGGATTCCAACTGTCCTCATCCTTCACCTTCCTGCCTATGAAAGATGGCAATTCTAGTTCAATAACATCTGGAGGGCCACATGTTCACTGATCTTACTATTAACTCATGAACACTTCTGTTTTTGTTAAATATGCATCATTATTATAGAAATATTAGACTAAGCAGATTGGGCAGACTACAGTCAAAGTACTGCTTCTACAATTTCCCCGGAATATTGTTGCATACATACACTTACATAGGGATATAATGCAAGTCATGTGCTGCTGGACTCACTGTGTGGGACGATGACGATATTCTGAGAATCTGTGCCCAAGATGTTTCGGGAGGCACAGCTTATGAAGACTGGCTCATCTACTCTATGGAGATGCAGCCTGCTTGTCACAATGTAAATCTTCAGGTCATCTTGGTAGGTGGAGTTTGTCTGAAGTTCCATCTCTTCTGAGGTATTTCCCAGGATCCTGGTAGTTTCCCCATCACACCTGTTTTAAAACACATCACCCAGTGCATGTAAGACAGCTTCATATAAATGACATCTTCAGGTCAATATCCGGTGAAGACAGTCTCTAAACAACTACAGATGGAGAAATGCCACCTAGAGTGGACGAGTAGTCCAGATAGGCAGGGTATCAATCAATCAATCAATCAATCAATCTATCAATCAATCAATCAATCAATCAATCTATCAATCAATCAATCAATCAATCAATCTATCAATCAATCAATCAATCAATCAATCTATCAATCAATCAATCAATCAATCAATCTATCAATCAATCAATCAATCAATCAATCAAATAAATGAATGAATGAATGAATGAATGAATAAATAAATAAATAAATAAATAAATGTTTTACCTGCAGTGCTGCAACCTAATTCTATGTCTCATTACTTAGAATTGGTCTCATCTGATTCAGCTTGACCCACAAGCAAGTATGTACAAGGCTGAAAGTACAGGCTCTAAAATCCTGTGCTACTATTAGCAGCATAAGACAGTAACACTGCGCATCCCTAAACATGGTCTGAAAGGATGTGATGTAGACACTTTGCTAAAGCTGAACAGGTCTGAGTCTTGTCAATGTTTGGATGGGAGATGTTAGAAAAATTCCAGGTAGGCTACCAAAGATGTTCATGATGGAAGGAAACAGGATATTACTGTAATAAAAAATAATCCTTCATTGTTTGGCTCAGGCTCAATGTATGTTGGCAGTAAGCCAAACGTGTGAGAATGTCACTTATTTATTTTCCCAAAGTGGGATACATAAAAATCATATACAACAAACAGAAACATGACAGAGAGAGAATGGATTCATGGTACAGTATTCAGGAAAGGGGACCATTCCTGTCTATCATGTCCTGCTCAGCCCTCTTTCCTTCCCCCTGAGATTCACATGGTGAGAATTCACCATGTGATTCTCTGTCAATAAAATGTGTGTTTATTTGCGTTTGATTTTTAAATAATTGCTATTTTTAAATAATTACTATTTAAAAATCAAACGCAAATAAACACACATTTTATTGACAGAGAATCACATGGTGAAATGTATAATTCCACTTTGCTGCACTGAAAGCTCCAAAGGCAAAGTTTTTTTTAAAAAAATTGTAGTTTTTAAAGAGTGATCATTGTATACTTTTAATTATTGTAAGCCATCTTTGGTCCCCTATGGACAGAAGGAAGGAAGGAAGGAAGGAAGGAAGGAAGGAAGGAAGGAAGGAAGAAGCTGTGTAATCTGCTAGAAATGATCTCCTTACCGTTTGGCATCATTACAAGTATACCAGGTAACATCTGGCTGGGGCATTCCTTCCATGATGCAGGTCACGGTTTGCTTCCCACTGCTGGCATTGCTGTTCTCTCTCAAATCAGTCACCTTAGCTGGGACTAGTTAAAAAAAGAATACAAGGCAGAAGATAAAACAAGTACTTTTCACAATGAATGGCCATAAACAGTGCAGTGTCTGAATAATTTATGTACATTTTAACTTACTCATAGAGTCTGAATAACAAGCACGGTAGTTTAATTTTGGTGGCAAAACATATATAATATGCTTGCCATCAAGATTTTTAAATTTAATGTCGTCAGGATGTCTTATAATTGCATTTATAGAAATTTCAGGGCTCAGGCTCACTGAGAAGTTTCGTAATAATTTTGAGAATTTTTGGAATCAACCTATATAGAACAGTCCAGCATCAACTGCTGATAATGTGATTACAGTATCAGTGTATTGTAGTCATGATCCTGTATACTTCATGCAGCATAGTCTAGATATGTTTTGAAAAAATATGTGCTCACCATTAATCTGTAAGTAAAAGGACAGCTCCTCTGCATCATCTTCATTGAACGCTCGGACAGTGTACAAACCTCCTTCACTCTGCTTCACCCTTACAAGGGTCAGAGTAGTTTGATACCTAGTAAAGAGAACCTTACAAAGATCAGGATCTAGGAGAAGTTTATTAGTTCAGGCAGAAAAAAAGCATAAAACCTGCTGCACTCGAAAGATTTTTATACCCAAACAATGCATCAAGCTAATTATTCTTGTAGCAATCCACCTTGATGTACTGAACAAAAGCCTTCTCTGAAGATAGAAATATGCCCTGGTTACTTACATATACAGAAAAAGAATACACTTTGTCTTAGAAACTCACAATGTTTTTTACTCACTCATTCCTTATGATTTGATGAATCCTTCTATCCAGATCTAACACGCATGCATCTACAAATATACTCCACTGTGTCAATAGAAGTTATATGAACATAATACTTCCTGAACAGATGTTTGATATAGTCTATTTTTATACTGTCACCCACATAATGAACTAAGATGGTAACAGAAAGGCCATGTAGGGTCTACACACTCCTAATCTAGTGTAAAATGCTCAGCAGACATGCATGGTAGGAATGCATGTACAGTAAGAGATCTAAGACTAAAAAGCATCCACATGGGTAGCTCTATGGATCCTAGGTAGCTCCAGGAGACAATGGATCTTTCTACTCTATCTTAATTGCACATACGATGCAATGCAGCAACGAGAGCCATTTTTTTATATGCTGTCCCTTACAGATGGGCCTTGATGGACTGGAGCAAATGGCCTGCCTTAAGGGAATCCAGGTAATTGCATGAGATTCCTTGCATTTAGATAAGCAGGAACTCTGAGAGGGTGTACAACTGTTTTTAAACCTGGTAGCTGAAATAAGATCTGACTGAAATGATGAACCTCCTAACAATTAATGTTTAAAAATTGTTATCAGCACTGATCGTGTTACTTTAAGAATATCTCTAATTTCTATTTCCTAGCTCAGCTTCCTAATAAGATATTCCTAGTTAATAAATGCAATTAAAAAAGTCATGTGCCATCAAGTCAATTCTGAATTATACCAACTCAGAAGTGGTTTACCCTTCCCTTCTTCTGGAGGGCGCCCTGGGACTGTGCACCTTGCCCAAGGACACACAGGCTGGCTCTACTTCACAAGAAGCACAGTGGGGAATCAAACTCCCAACCTCTGGCTCCACAGCCAGATACCTAAACCACTGGGCTATCCAGCCAGCTAAGTGCAATACATATTTCATTACTTCCCTTTATTCTGTACCAGAAGTGAGCTGTGAGAAAAGTAGTATTGGAGAAGAGGAATTAATGCAAAAAAGGAAGGAGGATTTAACAACTCTAGTGTGCTTCTTTTACTGTTCATAGATACTGGGCAAGCCTGTGAAAAGAAATACAGGTCTGTCAACCTCACACCTACTTTAGAATCCATACATTCTTGTATCCCTCCACCGACGCCCACACAGGTAAATGAGTCTGCAGAGCTTTCCCAATTAACAGATCCCAAACATGGCAGTATTTGGGCAGCAATGGCACTGGTGGTGATGGCATTGTGATGAAGAAGATGAAACATGTACTTCAGCTGATACTCATATCAGCCTAAAAAGACATGCCAAGACTAATTAAGAGGTTTGTTGCAGAGACAGCCAAGAAGTCTTCTGCTGCACAGTTCTTCAATATCCATGCTGGCTGGATAGCTCACTGAGTCATATAGCTGGTTGCAAAGCTAGAAACTGGGAGCTTGATTTCCAAGTGTGTCTCCTGTGAGAAGAGTCAGCCTTTGTAGCCTTGGGGAAGCTGTACAGTCCCAGAGTAGTCTCCACAAAAATAGTAAAGCACTTCTAAGTACTCTATATCCCAAAAACTGTGGAAAGGGTCACTATAACTCTAAATTGACTTGACAGCACATAATTAAATTACTGTTGCTATTTAGAGATGGGGATAACTCACCATTTTGGCAAGTCATCCTGCTTTGTGAGTTGTCAAAAGTTGACAACTCACGAAGCACAAAGTTGCCCCCATGAAGGTTTTTAATAACCTTGTGTGTGTGTGTGTGTCATTTAAAAAAACCACCCACGCCCCCCCTGCTGTCACAGCCACCACCACAGCCCCCCCCCCCCCACTGCTGCCTGCCTTAAGGGAATCCAGGCTGCCCTTTGCAAATATGGCAGCTGCAGCTTCCCTACCCTAAATGAAACTGCAGCTGCAATCTTTGCAAAGGGCAGCTAGTCTCCATTTTTTACACGCTGTGCCTGCAGAGGCCAGATGGAGACCTTGGCGGTGGCAGTGGCAATTATGGTAAGGGGTTGTTGGCGGGCGTGAGAAGGCTTAGGCGGGGAGAAGAAGGGTGGGGGGTAGGCTATGGGAGTGGGTGGCTGTGGGGGTGGGTGGCTGGTAGGCAGAATGTTTTATTTTAAAATTAACGAAGATGAATAAAAATGGGAAAATATTCGTCGATCCGTATTTGTCGGGACTTAAAATCTGATGAATACGGATCAACAAATATTTAACGAATTGGCTATTTTTTGTCAAAAAGCCATTTTTATATTCGTTCCCATCTCTATTCCTATTCCTTACCACTCAGTAGGGGGTGTTAGAATACAACATGAAACCACAGCCTTGACATGTGATTAAGGCATATGTAAATTAATAATAAACAGCATAGTTATGAAAGAAATGGAAAAGAAAAATGCTGGTGTGGCAAATAGGATTTAGTGTGGCTAATTTTCATCTTCTGATGACTAATGGTTTACCTGGTTTCTGAGAGATTCCTGGTGTTGATGGCAAATTCACTGTCACTGCCTGAAATCAGGGGCTTATCATCCTGAAACCAGCTGATGGTTGGGCTTGGATAGGCCTCAATCTGCACATGGAAGGTGTGACTTTTGTGCAGTTCAGCAAACACAGTGTCATTCAGAGCCGTGTGGAAGTTCACAAAGCCATGTTCTATATTTTTAAAAAAAGTTAGAAGAGAACAGTCAAAGAGAAGGAAACAGGCCTTTTGCTTTGCCAGGCCTTTTGCTTTTCCTTGTGGAATATAAGGTGTCAGAAGACCAGAAAAGATTGACTTGTATGGAAGCCGATCGAGGAAATATGGCTGAAAGGAGTGCAGCTAGAATCTGAAATCAGCCCACTTAAGGGTGATTAATATAATCTTTACGTTTATGTGGGCCTTTTAGAGCAGAACCATTTTCTGCATGGAGGAGAACTTCAGTTTGACCACTAATAGGATCATCCTAATTTCGCAAGGCTGCAATCTGCTTTCTGGATTTCACCTTCACTCTCATGTACTGTGAAAGGTTCTTTGGCAATTGCTTAAGCCATTCTGTGACAGTCTGGTAAAAGTTCAGAAACGGGTTAATGGAGGCAGGTCAGCAACCAAATTAAAAGATTCATTAAATTATACATTATATAATTTGAAATCCTGTTTGTACAGCTATGCCTGCAGAAGGCTGAGGATGTCATAAGCAGGGGTTATTTTTGGGGCGGCTGGGTAATTGAACACTTCCTCCTTCTTTTCCTTTGCTACCATAACTCCTATGTAATCCTTTCATCATCTGGAAGTGATGGGACTCCAAGTATGTGAATTTAAGTACTAAAAATTGCTGGAGGCAGTAATGTCATCCTAGCAATTGCAATTTTTTGTAGTTAAGGACTTCTTATCCAGTGGATCTCATAGCTTCCAAATGATGAAAGGGATACAAAGTAAAACGTTTCTTTTAAGAGCCTGCTAATGAAGTCATCAGCCTTTCATGGGCATAGCTGCACAAACAATACCTTCCAATACCTTTGTGGAAGGTGTAATATTTGTAAATGCATAGAAAAGCTAATTAGGGTAAATTATCCACCAGCATGGATCAACAGGAAGCAAGTAATGAAATAGGCTGGATATGAAAGCAGTAAAATTGTCCTTGATGCTACCAAGGGAATTGGATAAATAAAAGTTACTAGTGAGCAGGCATTATAGGAAAGGAACAGCAATGGTATCCCCTTAGTTGTCTGTTCAGGAAAACTTGGAGTTGCAAGCTCTCAGACTGGTAAGAAGCAAAAGATTGGACCCGACATACCAATCACTCTAATAAAGATGTCTTGTGCTTCTTTTTGCCCATGGAAGGTGTCAGTGGCCTCACAGACATACACGCCTTCATCCTCCAGCTCAGTGTTGTGGATAGTCAGTGTGGAACTGATATAGTGGCGGACCCCTGGTCCAAACTGAGTGAAAGGTTCTACCTCCCTGCCCATCTGTGGAGGACAACAAAGAGAATACCACGTAAGTAGCATTTAGCAGTGAAGATTCAAAGATATTAAAGCTTTGTTATTGTAATAATATGTAGGTACATGTACAAAGGCTATGCTAAAATGACTGAAGTTAAGGAGCCTTAAGAACACTGATAAGAAGGAAGCCAGTCTTACTTCCCCACTATGATCATGCTGGCTAATAACCACAATGAATAAGGGGGTGGGGTGGGGGGAAGAAGTGTTTGAAAAACACACATACACATACAGCACAATGGCAGTGGGGGTGAGGTATAGTTTAACTTACTCATTTGTAAATCACCACCAGGATCCTGACCACTGCTTTCCAAGTGGATACAGCAATAGTCTCAGGGAGTCAAAATTCAATTTTGTGGGACAAATGAGGAGCCAAGAGTACCATCATTTTGATGCAAAGACGTGGGACAAATGAGGAGCCTCTACGTGATGCCAAGAGTACCATCATTTTGATGCAAAGATCACCACCTTTTCCAAGTGATCCTTATCATCTGTCTATTTAAAATCTTTTACATTTTTACTATAAGACTAATTGAATAGCGAAGGCCACCAGATTTGAGTGAGCTTACTCTTAGGAAAGATGTTTATACGACTGCAGTTCCTTAAGACTGCAAACCAGCACAGATTTAATCAGAAATAAATCCTAGTGTATATTTATTTATTTGTTAGTTACATATACAGTTTGTCTTTCCTTTAATTTTTCTATAAATATCAGTTTTTAAAAATTCATTAAAAACTGATTATGAGTTTTTCAATAAAATACATAAAACCACAGAATCAGTTATATAAACTGCTTCATTAAGCTGCAGTACATCTCCCTCCTGTTCTTTTTTGGTGCTCATGATTTACAGTATTATAGTTGCAACAGTCTATCCATTCACCAGTGGAACTTACTTCTGAGCAGACATATAAAAGATTGTCCTCTAATCAGTGGTCCCCAACCTTGGCCCTCCAGATGTTCTTGGACTACAACTCCCAGAAACCTTCACCACCACCTCTGCTGGCCAGGATTTCTGGGAGTTGAAGTCCAAGAACATCTGGAGGCCCAAGGTTGGGGACCATTGCTCTAAATGACTTCAGTTCCTACTTCACCCATAAAGATGCAACGTAAGCTAGTGGAGACTGCAGCATGGGGAAATTTACAGCCCTCAGTGCTACTTCTCTGGTCTTTCTTCAGCATGATCAGGTAATATAAAAAGAACACCAGTTTAAATTCTAATTTATTTCTAACAGTTGACACATAGTTTAAATAGAAATAACATTTAAACCCCAACACATATGTATTTGCTTACTTTCTGGCCTGGATAACTCCAAGTGAAATTGATCAGCTCAATGCCTCTCACTGCACATATCACAGTTATATTTTCACCTTGCTTTGCAATAGTTTGCACTGCACTGAGAGACATGTTGATGGTGGACGTTGGTGAGGAAGAAACTGCACAAGAGAGAATTTCAGATTAACAGAGAAGTACGCAGAACTGCAGGAGGATCAGTCATTTCACATGACCGAAAATGTGTCCAAGGAGAGAACCCAGTTCAATATACAACACACAGTGAAGATGCTATTACGTCCAAGGGTTTTAGATGCATTATAAATAATTTTAAGATACTGCAGATCTATTTAAAATGTAATAATAAAAAAGCCAACAAAAAGTATTCAGCAACCCACCATGAACCCCAACATACACATCCAGCATAATAAAATATACAAAGAGTAAAAAAAAACAACCAAATCTATATAGCAGCTAAAATCGCTATTAACTCCATACAGACTAAACTAAAACTTAATTGCATTTTTCAGTGACAAATTTAAAATTCATTATTTTAACCTTTAAAATACTAGTTAAAATGATTTCAGTGACCAAAAACCTATTGCCAAGTTAAGGTGGCAGAAGAGCAAGGATGTACCTTTCTGCCTGCAGAGAGCTGCCGATTAACAAGCACATCCTTGGATTCCTCTTGGAATGCCAAAGTGGCTTGGCCTAAGGATGACTCCACCACAGGATTTTGGCTGATGTTTTTCATTATGTTAGCTTGCAGCAGTTGTTTTCATAAATTCCAGATATTTAAACATTTAAGAAATGTCGCTGCTAAATTTCCTAATAATTTAAAATCAACTAATTAGATTTTTTTCAGTGATTTAAATTAACATGTTAGTGCTATCACTACTATTTCCAAGGACTAAATAATAAGACCTCGAATGGCTTGGGAGAAGACCCTTTGGCAGTAGCCAAAATGACATCAATGTGGGTGCTGGGCAAACTTCACTAAAGCTGAGAACTCCACAGTCGGGAAGCCAGTTTTCTGTCATGGCTACCTTCCAATGTTCAGATTAAGGACACATGCAGAAGAGGATGAATTGTCAGACAGTTGTTCCAGATGCAAAGCATGCTGAACAGTATGGGAATGTGGCCAATTGGAATTCACTGGAATCATGCCCCATCCCCACATGGGTCTACTGCCAAGGGATTGTCCTGCTTTCCAATAAGGAGCCAGGTTGGCTTTCTCTGTTACTGGTTTTCCATCTAATTCAACCTACAGCTAAGCTGTTCTACGTGCAGAAAGGTGGTTGTTTTTCACAATGAAGATTACATGACTCTTGCAAACATTTGTCAAAGTTCACCTTGGATGCTGTAGACATAGTATGTTTCAGAGTCAAATTCCTGTTCATCAATCAACGCCCTGCAGATATAGGTTGTATCTTCAAAGTACCCCTTGAAGCCTTGTTGTGGGTGGTACGTGCCAGGGACTGGGTCATTGCCCCTCTTTTCGTAAAGAGTCACTGTAGTGTTGGGGTCAGTCACACGACATGGGATAATGTTCTCGCCATGGCCAGTGCTGAAAACAAATGTGTCCTCCTGCATATTTGGCAAGAATGGCAAAGAAGAATCTATAGAGAGAAGAAGATGAAGAGAAGACAATTGATTTTGATTAGATATTGGTAAGAGCAATACCTGGCATATAAGAACAAAAAACTCACCAAATTCTGACATGGGATAGCTATAAAATGATCTCAGGCTATGTGAGGTTAAATTCTTTTTAGCTCCAACACTGTAAGATGGGAGGCAAGCTGTAGCAAATGTGACAGAAATGTGATCTGCTCAAACAGGGCTCAAACTCGGCCATGCGTGGAATGAGGACATTGACTCAGTTGAAGCAGCAGCAGCAGGAGGAAAGGGGTTGGAGGACAGAGCTCCAGGTGCCACACAACCTGCCTTTGCTCCCACAAGCAGTTGGCTTGCTGCCTCAAATGCAGGGCGAGACAAGGGCATCCACAGGAATTTTTGTGGTGGGTGGTAGAGGAAATAACACAGTGGTACATTAGAATAATATCTCTGTGCAGCACATAACACTATAGCACTGTGTGGCAAATGTCTGTGTACATTAAAACAGTAAGTACATTTTACTCTTGACAAGGTAAAGCACCACCACACAGGGACACACAGTACATAATGTGTCCCCCCATTTGTTGATGAAAGGGAGGCAGGCGGGCTGGCTCCTCAGCAGGGATCTTCTCCTTGAGCTAGCCCAGTCAAAACCATGGTACAGTATGAAAATGTTTAAAATCCAAGATAAACCATCTAAAGCAAGAAGCTTTGGGCTGGACCGAGAAGGCTGAAGGCCTGCCTTTAGTCCAGAGGCCAGAAGTTTCCCATCCCTATTATAAGGATTCCAGTCCTCACAAGGCTCACACATGCAGACACACCCCAAGGAGCACAGGGATTCCTCCCCCCCCAATAAATAAATAAATAAATAAATAAATAAATAAATAAACAAACAAACAAACAAACAAACAAACAAACAAACAAACAAACAAACAAACAAACAAACAAACAAACAAACACCCCACAGCAAGATAATTATCAGTACCTGGTACAAAAATATAGATGGCTTTCCCCTCTGGGACTTGATTGTAGACACAGGAATATTCTCCTGTATAAAAGCCAGTTACGTTCCTGAGTGTGAGAGTGTTAAAAAAAGTTCCACCCTTTTTCTCCAGGATGGTTTCTACTATAGTATGTTTGCTGTCCTTCTTCCAGGTAATCTCATTCTGCCCTGAACACGTCAGGGTAAAATCACTGTAGAGAGCGAGGATGACTTCCCGGTCATTGGGAGAAATCTCCAGAGAGCCGATTTCTGGCAACCCTTGAAAGAAATTATTTTTAAAAAGTGAAATATCTGAGAGACATGAAAGTCCCACAGGTTACAGACATCAGTAGTAGAACCTGCACTGGCAAATACTGAAGGTAGATTTTAAAACGAAAGTTATATGTTTGTGATATTAAACTGTCATATTGCTTTAGAAATGAAATTGTGGTCTTCACAAGCATATATACAAAATGATCCAACCTCTTTAGTCATTTCCAGTTTTTCTCTCAAGCCAGAACATTTTGGTTTTGTTGTCTAGCACTGTGATCTTATATTTTCTTTGTATTAGGAACATGAGGAAGAAAAAAATTGAGGAGGGAAAAGTGAAGACAGAGAAAAGACAAAACATTTTGGAACTTTAAACACTAATAGATTTAGGAAAATATGTATGTTCCATACTTATTCAGTGATAATTAATAATTTGAATGTACAGTTCAGACAACTGTAAATACTCAGGATTTGACTGGCCATACTGTGGCTTTTAAAATAAGTAAATCAAACTGTTTCATTAGCTACTGAATTAAACAGAAGTGGACTAAACACCAAAAAATGTATTTCAGAAGAGTGAGTGGGACTACTACCCTTCCTTTTTCCCTTCTGTGATTTTGAGTTATGCATTTCTTTAAAAAAAATTGAAAATTTTTTCTCCCAGAAGAAATCCCTATCATAGAATTTGTATTGGAAAGAGCCAATGTAGTGGAGGATGTGCAAAGAAAGCCTTTACAAAACTAAAAATAATACTGCCAGGAAACCTTTTGGAAATGATATGGCGGACACCCATTTCCTGAATTACTTCCCATAAGCCCATCACTGCTTCCAGGTTTCTAGCTTTTGCACTGACCTTCCAACGTTAAGTTTGAGTGAATAGAGATAGGCATGTAGGAAGGATGTCATATGGTTTGTTTGTAGTGTAACACTGTGCATGTCAGTTGGGCACAAGTCCCAGGAGTTCATCAGAGCTTACTTGCAGATAAGTGATCATCAGATTGCAGAGTTTTAATTTGCTTTCTTCTCATGTTGCACGTTTGTCCCTGCAGCAGAACCTTATGCATTTTCAGCCATAGGTCATTTCCCACGGCATAGCACGATGAAGAGGGAAGCAACATACTTCTCGTCAGAAATCTCTGCAGTCCTTAGAAAGGTGGGAAGATTTCTGCAGATATGAGCAAAAGACTGCCCCTTTTTGGATTGGGCTGAATAGGGCTAAATAGGGTCACTAGGATATCGGGTATGCTATTGGATGCAATTCTCACATCCAAATGACATACAGCCCTCAAGCAACTCTATTTGGCCCACTCTTGATTTACCCATATTGTGAAGTGGCTTAAGAAGAGAGCAACTTCAGAATTTTGGCAAATTAAACACTTCCTTGGAGGCGCCAAGGGAATTATTTTTTTAAAAAGTATTAGGCAGCACATATGTCTTGCATCGTGTGTGTTTTTTTTAAAGCTAAATAAGGAACTTTCTCCTGGGAGCTGGAAAATAGGAGGAGACAATGAAGAGGATTTTTGTTTGTTTTCCTCTTCTGGTTGAGAGCTGGCTGAGAGAAGCAAACAAAAATCCCCCTTAAAACAGCGGGTTAGTTCCAGCTCTGCCATTCTAAATGGCTAGTGGAAACAGAATCTGATGGAGGAAGACAGCAGTGATTTTCACCAACTCCTGCTTCCCCTTAACACTCCTCAGCGCCAGCTCATACATGGCCCTGTGTGCCCTGACCCTCCACAGCAGATTTACGGGGGATTGCAGGGCAAAAACATCCTCGTGATCTACAGTTAATTCAGTCCATTGAATTCTACACCACACAGTCTCTGGAATGAACCCAAAATAATAATTACAAAAATGCAATGTTACAAAATGGCAACAGGTAAAATATGGTCGTAAACAGCCCCAAAGTGCACGCCTAATAACAACGTCTATGTTTTAGTTTTTAGTTTTGATTTAAAACAAACACGTTGACTTCTATTTCAACATCTAAACAGAGTCTCCCATGTGTAACAAGTATTCCACAGAAAAACAGAAACAGAAACTCCCCATGCCTTGAACTGTTATAAAAAATGTCCTTATTGCAGGAATAAAACAGAACGTTGAGAGTTAACAATGAGGACTTTGAACCAATAAGGGTTGAGGGTGGGCATCTAGACAGCAGCCCTGGCATTGCTTTGGGCCTTAAAGAAACTAGGGCTGTTCCTATTTATTCCGCTGGTGTCAAAACCCTGCATCTTTACTTTGCCAGTTTGCTGCCTGAAGGATGTCCAAGAGCCCATCTCTTCAGCTGCCAGAAATCTCTTATTTGCGTACAAAACATAGTAGCATACAAACCCCATAGCTTCCAAGCTACCAGGAGGGACACAGCCTGCCCAGCACCAAGGTTTTGTACATGACCTTTTTTGGGAGGGGGGCACAGAAGAGCTGGAAGTCAGCCAATAGTTTGAAGCAGGAGTGGACAAACTGCAGTCCTCCAGATGTTGCTGGAGATGTTGGGAGAGCCAGTGTGGTGTAGTGGTTAAGAGCACTGGACAAGGACTTGGGTGACCTGGTTCACATCCCCACTTGGCCATGAAACCATGTGACACTGGGCCAGTCACAGGCTTCCAGTCTGACCAGCCTCACAGCATTGCTGTGAGGAGAAAGTGGGAAGAAAAAGAACCATATATACTATCTTGAGATCACTGAAGGAAAATCAGGATACTGTATATAAGTAATATAAAATGAAAAATAAAACTTGATGAACAACAGATTTAGCAAGTTAGCAGAGCAAAATGGCATAGATTGCACTGGTGTCATTTAATGGTAGCTTGACGGGCACAAAATAACTTATGAGGTCTTTTGTGGACCGAACACTAACCTGCTAATGTCAAGAATTTTGGCAGCTAGGTGGAAGTCCCACTACATACACAGAATGTTCCCAGTCTTTAAGGCAGGGGTAGGGAATGTGGGGCCCTCCAGGGGTTGTCAGACTGCTGCTCCCTTCATTGCTGACTTCTTTGGGCTAAGGCTGGTGGGAGCAGTGGTCTGACATCTGCCCCACCCCTCCCATGCACAAGCAGAAGCACCACGGATGTGTACAGGTCTGCCTCCAAGTCTTGGCTCTAGATCTGATTTTGGCTTATGGGGACAGCTGTATATAGATGATAGTGTGCCTTTTGCTTCTAGTGCCAGAGGCTGGGTTACAGTAGGGAAATTGGCATGCTGTACAGTGGACCCTTGACTTACAGATGGCTTGACTTACAGACTTTTTGAGTTACAGACTTCTCTGGCCGCAAAATTTAGGTTTGACTTGCAGACTGAGATTTGACTTACAGACCAGAAAAAAACCAAAATGGAACAAAAACGGCCTGTTATGGGATTAATCGGTTTTCAATGCACTGTAGGTCAATGGAGACTTGACTTACAGACTTTTTGACTTGAGAACCGCCTTCCAATATGGATTAAGTTCTCAAGTCAAGACCCCACTGTAGCTTAGAAACTAACGTCAGCATTCTAAATGTAAGATTACCAGTGCTATGCATCTTCTGCACAATACATGTGCATGTTCATAGCTTAGGAAATATAATAATTTCCATATATGCAACAGCATATTTGTTCCTCCCTTTTTCTTCATCTATCTCATGCACTGTGGGAATCCTATGACGAGTCAACACATACACACGTATACACTCAGTTAATATCCAGGGATTGGCTTACCAATAAGAAAGAGGAGTAAGGAGATGATCATCCTTGGAAACAGATGTAACATCACAGGAGCTTGAGTTATACGAAGCAGTGCCTTGTTAAAAAGATAAGCAAGATAGTTAGAAACCTGGAGACAATGGAAGAGTCTTGTATGATGAATGAGAAACAGATATGATTACTAAACTAAAACATTCCACAAATCAAAGGCAGGCAGCCTGTTGCCCTCCTGAAATATTGAACCAGGGATATACAGTACATGAAACCACTACAAACAACTGTAAAGTCTGCACCCATTGATGCCTTCCCTTTCTGTCTTCATGTTCAGTCCATGCCTTTTTCAATTGCTCCTCTACTTTTATGGGACAAGATTCTCCCCATGATTTGCTTATATTTTTCAAATGTATGTATACTTGTTTGCATAGATTAAGTTATAACACACTTGGCCATATTTGAAGCATTTTAAAGCACACATTTGAAACATGCACATTTTCCCATGTGCACTTTTCAAATATGTTTATTTCACACAAACCTCATAATTACACAGCAATGCATCGGTGTGACAGGATGCGAGAAATTCAAAATGCATCCACCCCGTAGAAAATCCAAGAAATATAGACCAAGACAAGATAGTCAAACCTAAGATTCAAACTATACGTTATACATTGCCCATCATTACCAGCTGAGGACATTATTTGCCTGATCTTTGTGACTGAATTACCTACCTTGCAAATGAAGCCTGTTCATTACTTACAGCTGCGAACAGATCAACAGCAAACAATCTCCCTATGACCAAACAAAAAACATAGGAAGCTAATTTGCAAGCTATGAGAGGAGTGAAATGCTCTTATAGTGACTAACAGACTTTCTCAGCACTGAATTTAATGATATGCTACCCATGACATTTAGTTGATCCTTAGATGTAAATTGCTCACACTATTTGATTTGGACTACATTTTCCTAATACTCTAGTTCTCAGGGCAAATGATCACAAATAAAGGGTATCATTACCCAATGCATCTAGAAAGCATAAGGTTGTCTATTTCTGTCATAAGCCATTTAGAGTGTACTGCTAGCGCTGTCCTTGGCCCTAGAACAAGGACCAGCAGCAATATGCAGTAGATGGAAAAACAAAGGAAATTTTAGTCTTGAATTCTGTAATTTCTCTAGTGGTCTATGACTGATAGTATTTTGCTTGTGTGAAGACTGAAGCAGGCCCCCATTCACAAGGCAAAGCACTACATTGCAAATCCACAGGTCCGCTGTTGATAAACAGCCAATCTCGGTTGTCTGTCCTCACATTAAGTGTAGTTTTCTACTGTCTGTATGAACACTGACTTGGGAGGGCAATGAATCATAGGATGCAAGCAACAGATTGAAATGATCACTGTTGATTGCTTGACTTTAATTTGGGGGTAGTATCAGTACAGTATCTCTCCCACAACATTCCAGCTTAATAACATAAGAAGTATCTTGTGAGCATTTGTCATGTTTCCAGTGTCGTTTATATTGTCCTGGTGTCCTCCAAACATTGTTCTTAACACTTATTCAGCCCAAAAGACTAGAAGAAGGATTTGACAGTAAATGGCAGGGAAGTCTATCTATCCTTTTTTTTTCTGTTGCAGAGTTTCTCATAAAATTTCTTTTTGTTACATTGTATAAGTACAGAGACTCACAGAAGAGAATAGCTTCAAATTTCCCAGATAGCCCACCCCTTTCTCATTGACTGCTACTTAAAGTCTCAATAACTCACTCTGAGACATGTGTAGGAGGAAAGAATAAAAACGTTTCATTATAGATCAACAGCAAACAAACACACACTGACTTGAACAGACTAAAGAGGTGGAAAGGAACACTCAGCAAAGAGGCAGAGCTCTCTTTGAATTCAGAGGTGGGAGGGAACAACTGGATAGTGCTGGATAGATTGACAGTAAACTCAGCCCAGAAAAGTCCCCCCCTTCCACTCAAAACACAGGCAGCATGCAGGGTTGCAACTAAAACTCCAACATTTTGACTCTCTGAACTCTCTTGCCAATATTTCAACTCATCCTCTGTTAACTGCATTGGTAACATTCTGAATAGAAAATTAATTTTTGGTAAAATTTTCATTTTTACCAATGCAATCTTTCCAAACCAAGATAATTTGAACTTATAGATACTCTTAAGAGTCTTCCCACTAGTTTCACCTCCCTTTTCCTGTTTTTCTAAGGAACAGACATACTGTTGCTCCTCTTGTGTGTCCTCTCAGGGACATGACTGTCTAGTTGGAATTAGGGTTTAGTTTTTTTCAATCTGGAACATAACTTTCTTGAAGATGGTTGTTCTGGGTTTTTCGGGCTCTTTGGCCATGTTCTGAAGGTTGTTCTTCCTGACTTTCGCCAGTCTCTGTGGCCGGCATCTTCAGAGGACAGCAACCTCTGAAGATGCCAGCCACAGAGACTGGCAAAACATCAGGAAGAACAACTTTCAGAACACGGCCAAAGAGCCCGAAAAACCCAGAACAACCATTAGATCCCGGCCGTGAAAGCCTTCACGAATATATTTCTTGAAGATGGTTAGCTGTTTGTTTTTAACTGCTTCTCCTGCTTTACTGTGGGTCCACTGTGGGGCGGATGAGCAATGTGTCTATGCAGCATCTACTCTGCTACAGAGAGAAAAACCATAGTATTTTTTTCCTTTTTCACTTGTAAACATTCACAACATTTAAGGACCAATTTACTTTAATGCCTGGATATAGTGAGTATATGAAAGTATAAATGTGTTAAAACCCTGCATCACACAGCCAATATCCTGTTCAATATTTGTACATGCTCAGAGTGCTAACTGAAGGAGTTCATGCAATGAGTGATCTGACCGAGTGCCACTCATGACCAGTAGTTTGGCAGATCACCTAAAGCAGCTTGTCACTTAGAAGGCTGCACATGTATATTTTGAAAAGAATACTACCATTATGTGTGGTTAGTTTGTCTGCATAGTGACCTATCTCCACTACATATCTCCTGTACATGTGAGAATCATTACTACCACTACTACTTAGTATTTCTAATAATATTTTTCATTTTTGCAAAGAGTGTAATTTAACAAATTATAGGTCACTGAAAATTCCTTTCTTCTTCAAAGAAGAGGGAATAAGCCAGCAGATGGAGACTTTCCCAAGGTCACACTAGTGAAACTTTTTATTGATTCATACGATATGGTTTTGTAATGAGGCTGCACTTCATGGAGTGATATAATTTGTATGGTTATTATTTAAGCCATTAAAGAATATCTAGCCATATTAAATAAATACAGTATTGAATTTTCCCAAGGTCTGATTTCACAAACCCCAAAATCCCCGCTTCAGTCATTTCTCTCTTATGCTAACAAACTCCTAGCTCTAATTCCACATTCCCTATAATGTCTGACGGGGATTTAAAACATGAGGCTACTGCTGAAAATGGTAGCCCTGTCTTGTTCTCTCCCTCCTACACACCATGTGAAATATAGTGAAATCAGAGCCAGTTTAGCCCACAGCGCCACCACGATCGAATCCACGCGACGGAGGGAGCTCCCGTCGCTTGTCCCAGCTCCCGCCAACCTAGCGGTTCGAAAGCATGCAAATGCAAGTAGATCAATAGGGACCACCTCAGTGGGAAGGTAACAGCGTTCCGTGTCTAAGTCACATTGGCCATGTGATCACGGAAGATTGTCTTCAGACAAAACGCTGGCTCTATGGCTTGGAAATGGGGATGAGCACCGCCCCCTAGAGTAGAACACGACTGGACAAAAATTGTCAAGGGGAACCTTTACCTTTACCTAGAGCCAGTTTGCTGGCTGGATGGTTATGGTAGTCTAAAAAACAAAGTTTCTAAGTTCTGAATGAAATAATGACAAATCATCACAAGAAATGGGATCTGAGGACATTCAGTTCCATAATTTGGCATGATGCCCTAGTGACCAGTGCCCTTCAAACTAGCAGAAGGGAGAACAGCCCCCTCAACTCCATGCTGTTTCTTTGAAACATTAGGAAAGTTCTCTGCTGCACTGTGGGACATTGCTGAAGACTCCCTGTGATATGCAAAGCTGCATGAAACAATTAGTTAAGATGGAGGCTGCTTCCATGCTCTCTATTCAGAGGCAGCCGTCACTAGAACTTATTTCCACAAGCACCTTTGCATGTCTCAGAGAATCTTCTCATCTCCGATGGTGCAGCAGGGAGCTTTTCTTACAATTCGAAGAAGAAGGGCTGCTCCTCTTCCTGCCAATTTGAGGGCTTCCCATACCATAGTTTGGCTGGAGATGGGGGAGTCCCACCAAATTATGGGACCAGAAATCCTTTTATTCCAAAATCCCCATCCCTAATCAGCATGCATGATTTTCCGTGCCTTGCTTGTGACATATCAAGGAAGAGGAAATACATAACATATACTGAATCACATGTTCTGAGGACCTAAAAGAATGAAACAAGACTTGTGTCTCCTGCTGCATCTAGTCTGGCCCTTAAATAATAGGGAAGATCATGATACTATAGCCAGTGTGATTTTCTTCACATGTATTCCAAAGCAATGTGGAAAGCAGTTAATCAGAATGCCCATTATGCATTATGTATTAAAATGATCATCAGCTTCACCCACGGTGTCACATTGTTCATGGGCAAACTCCTGGAAAAAGGGAACTCAACACTCTGAAGCAATTCTTTTGCCTCTGGGGATACATATGAGGGCACATCAGACCATGGAAAATGATGAGTGGCTTGCTATGCCTGAGAAAACTGCTAAAAATTGTGTGGAGCCATGATGTGGTTGACTCACAATCTCCGTGTATGTTGGAGCACTCACAGGAGTGGCCACCACACATAAATGTATAAAAATGGTAGAGTTTATTAGCAGGCCTAAACCAATTGCCAGGCCCAGCTAGACCAGATTTATTGAATCAGTTGCTTTTATTATAACTGTTGATACTTGTCACATACAGCACTGATGGTACCTGTCTGTCATGGGTTTGGAGGGAAAGTTCCATCCTATGGGGAGTGGAAGGCGGGACATCAGGGGTAGGAGCTGTACTGTGTATATATTTGGAGCTGGTGTGAAGAGTGAGGAGTTGGAGTCTGTGTGTCAG